TCATCAAAAGGCATGAGGCTAGGATTATTTTATTTTCCCCCAAATAAAGGAAATATTTTCAAACTGGGTATAAAAAAACGAAAAACACATCAATCAAATATTGTCTACAGCTTACAATCAAATATTGTCTACAGCTTACCCTTCAGGATCCCTGCTTTTCTTTGTCAGGAACTAAGTGTATAATTTATGTAACGAGAGGTGTGATATCGAACCTCCAGAGGGACACAATCTTTGTACCAAATGTGTATCAAAACATTCTCGTCACTTTTGCTCTCTGCTACTTGATGAAGCATTCCTGGAAAAGAAATTGAAAATAAAAGACAATTTAAACCATCATGCTTGTTTTCTTAATCTTATAACTATCTTGTTAAAATTGCCAGTCATTTTTTAGCCATTTGTTGAGTCCAACTTACTAGAAATAGCTTCAATGGTCGGCATGATGGGTTAAAATGTAAATACCAACATAGACATAATAGACCTAAATTATTTTTAAATTTCGAAAGCTACTTCAATCAACATGCCCTTACCCTGATTGCAATGTAATTTAATGTAGCTTACCTCCATCAGAAATTTCTGCTTGCAATAATTTATCCTTGACACGTTTCCCATGTCGAATGACAAACAGCTCAACTTTACTCCATGATGCATGCAAGTTATACATAAAGGCAACACACAGACATGCCATCTGCCAGAAGAAATCTTGATCTACCCAGAGTTTCTTAGGCGAAGAAGATGAAGCTTCAGAGCGAGAATCATTGTGTATCTTTCGTTTTCTAGCAGCATTCGGGCGTTTAAAAAACTCCAGCACGGCGGCTGCATGGTAGTGCAAAGTTGTATGTAATTCATACATGTCATATGCTTCGCCATAGTATGGAATTCCATATCTGCCGTCGTGCGTCGTCCGTCGTGCGTCGTCCGTCGTGCGTCGTCCGTCGTGCGTCGCCCGTCGTGCGTCGCCCGTCGTGCGTCGTCCGTCGTGCGTCGTCCGTCGTGCGTCGTCCGTCGTCCGTCGTGCGTCGTCCGTCGTGCGTCGTCCGTCGTGCGTCGCCCGTCGTGCGTCGTCCGTCGTGCGTCGTCCGTCGTGCGTCGTCCGTCGTGCGTCGTCCGTCGTGCGTCGTCCGTCGTGGGTCGTCCGTCGTGCGTCGTCCGTCGTGCGTCGCCCGTCGTGCGTCGTCCGTCGTGCGTCGTCCGTGGTTTTTTTTGTCACGATTGCGCAGTGGTATTTTTAACTTTGACCCTTGATCGTTTCACATGTACATGTCCTTGTTCGATCGATCCACCATGCCTGACTCTCATTTTAGCAATAGAACTAGAAGATGTACATGTAGGCCTATTCGTTTTTGCAGTGGCCCCAAACTCCAATTGAAAGAAGAAATAATATCCTGACATCGGCTAAGTAACGTGTATATGAAATAACACCATTTTGGTTACATAAATAAATCAACAAAATAGACTTTTTTTACGGTAGATTGTTTTTCTCGAAAACTTAATTACNGCATCGAAAGACATGAGGCTAGGATTATTTTATTTTCCCCCAAATAAAGGAAATATTTTCAAACTGGGTATAAAAAAAACGAAAAACACATCAATCAAATATTGTCTACAGCTTACCCTTCAGGATCCCTGCTTTTCTTTGTCAGGAACTAAGTGTATAATTTATGTAACGAGAGGTGTGATATCGAACCTCCAGAGGGACACAATCTTTGTACCAAATGTGTATCAAAACATTCTCGTCACTTTTGCTCTCTGCTACTTGATGAAGCATTCCTGGAAAAGAAATTGAAAATAAAATACAATTTAAACCATCATGCTTGTTTTCTTAATCTTATAACTATCTTGTTAAAATTGCCAGTCATTTTTTAGCCATTTGTTGAGTCCAACTTACTAGAAATAGCTTCAATGGTGGGCATGATGGGTTAAAATTGAAATACCAACATAGACATAATAGACCTAAATCATTTTTAAATTTCGAAAGCTACTTCAATCAACATGCCCTTCCCTGATTGCAATGTAATTTAATGTAGCTTACCTCCATCAGAAATTTCTGCTTGCAACAGTTTATCCTTGACACGTTTCCCATGTCGAATGACAAACAGCTCAACTTTACTCCATGATGCATGCAAGTTATACATAAAGGCAACACACAGACATGCCATCTGCCAGAAGAAAATCTTGATCTACCGGAAAATTTTTGCTGAAAATGTTTTTCCCCAGAAAACACTTGGTTGAATTCTCAGATGCGATATTTTCTTGTCAAGGGGCAGGGGTAGTCTAGCATTATTGGAAT